ATTTAGGGAGAATGTTCCGCCGACCAGACAGCAGTGAAAGGGCATTGCCAAAGACGGTACCCACAACGCGCGAAAATTAAAAATTGTAATATTAATAACACAAGTGCCTATCACCCAATAACAGATTAGAGAATACACATGTGCATTCAGCTACTTGGGATGGGCAGACTCAGAGGAATCGTCGTTCTCTCTCTAGCTTACCAATAGCTACGTGTCATGAGGACTTTGTTCACTTTGTTGACATGCAAGAACTTTTATCAAATATCTGATATAGAGGGCGCAGCCTCTGCATCAGCTTGGAGCGAATACTTTTGTAAAAGTTGTAAAAGACATCTACAAGAAATGTTCTGCAGAATTCTCAGTGAACCGAAGCGGTTTATCTGTGAATAGTTCGTAAGAGATCAATACTTAAATTACATGAATTTTCCTATTTACTTTGTTATTTGTCCACAATTTTAATTAAATCCGAACCTGTCAACTATTAATTTGTTAAAGCTATTCTATAAGTTTTAGTTATTTTTAGGTTATATGATAATTATCACTAAAGAAATACAACATATTTGAAGGGAAAAACATGAAAAAAAACCCTTTTTTATTAATTGACAACTTACAAATCGGAAAACAGTAAATTATACAAATAATGCATTATTATTAACGAACTCATACAAAATGTGAAGAAATAAATGAAGTATGCAATTGAAAAAAAGTGTGCACTTAGTTATAACGCATCGCACTGAACAATTGAATAAATGAATAAATACCATATATTTTACCAGTACACGCACGCGCAGGCCTGTATTCAGTCGCGTAGACTGTTGTCCACTAACGACTGCAAAATGACCCTGATGGGCTTATTTTAAGTGAGGGACTGTTGTCCTCTCACCAGTAATGCAGGCTGAATGCCTCAGTTGTGTCCAACAAAAATTTGTTAGATTCTAAATGATTAACGTTGATCACGCCCGAATGAATTATCTCGTGTGTGTGTGTGTGTGCGCAACGAATCAATAATGGCGACCGAACAAAGGGGGAAACGAGAAAAAGAATAACGCACGCCGATGCACGTGAACCTGTTTTTTACAAAGGCGTTCGCGGAATTGTTTGCGCTTCCGTGTCAAGTAAACAAGAAGGACTCATGTATCCCAGTCTATTTATATGTATGACTTTATTGTTACACGCACTACGTTGTCAAGTAAAATCCCCTTGGCGGATACGATAGAATTACGCGTCATTCACTTATTAAATGCGTTTTAATGATTAATTTCAAGACGACGTTCTCATGCTCGTTGTATAAACGTGTTAAATCGAAAGCAAAACGCGACGTGTTTGATGCTTATAGAAAACATAAGGCTTGTAAAGCTAGTACTTACGTGACTAAATGCCCAACCCGAATGTTGTTGAAACAGCCAAACTATTCAAATATATGTGGTGAGGACAGGGTATGCCGGGAGATGCTAAGAAAGAACAATAGGCTATATTTAAGGAAATATATATTCTTTACATTTATATAACTTAGGCTTAACAATGTTAGTTAGCAATAAGCCAACACGCAGATTCCGGCATACAAATAAACAACACAACAAGACACTCGGACTCAGCTCTCGAATCACACACGACGAGCACACCACGCTGTTGCGTACAGTTATAGGTTATTCACGTGAACACGCGACGTTATGATTATACACTGGACGCGAAAGCAGCACACACGCTAAAAAGGTACACGCACACCCCGGAGTAGTACACGATTGATACAATGCCCGTGGGCGCGTTACACATACGCAGAAGCGGATACACAAGAAGGCAACGCACCAAACCACGCTGATACGTTGACGCGAATCTCTATGCTCAATGCCGCGTACAAGCATCCATATTACCTACGAACGCTCATGAAGCTATCGAGGCGGAACAAATTCGCAAACGCGCTCACGCTTTGATACAATTGGCCATACGGCGACAAATACCTGCGGCGTCGAGGGTTGACGGCTCCGAGGAAGATCTCCGCAGGGGAACGGCAGGAATCGACCAGAGAACAGCCCAGCTGTCGACCAGAGAAAAGCTCCCAGTGAGGGTGGACGAGAACAGCCCGTCCAGACAGATAAAGATCAGCCCCAGGTTAGCAGCAGTGCAGTGGGTGTATACAGATGGAGGTCAGCTCCAGGGTTAGCAGCAATGCAGTGGGTCCTTTTCGCTCAGGTTAGAGGACGGCTCAGTGAACAGCGGGAGAGACGTACCCAGGGCTAGAGTAGTATAGCAACTGCCGCTTTTTGGTAGACGCGCGCCGTTTCTCGCTTCTCCTTTCTTCTACCGCTCTCTCTGTCTCTCTCTCCTACTTCCCTCGCATCACAACTCACTCCACACCCTTTTCTTTTAACCTACTAGCCAACGCTGAACACCAAAGATAAAAAAATGGCGGCTCTTTGGTCGTGTGGTGAGAGGCTGTACGGCACACACCCCAAACGGAGAACGAAGGATTAGCTTAACGTGTTACTTCTCAGTTCTTTCGTCGCGCCTGGTCGAGCTCGCTTGCCAGAATGCGTAAAGAAATAACGCTGCGCACCTACTGCTCCCACTCTCTCTCCGTACAACATCGCCCCCCTATGTGAGCACGCATGCGCTGACCTGTGTAGTCGACTTTCGACGGAATAATGCTCCCTCCGCGCAAAGAAAATATGGCATTATTATAAAAATACTTAAGATTAATTTACATATGGTAGAGGACATAATTGAGTTATGTTCCGCAAATACACGCCTTTGGTTGTTTTGACTTTGACGACTCGGACTACACCATCACTCCCAGGGCACAGTTCAATGATGACTCCCAACGGCCATTGATTACATGGTTGATCTTTATCTATGATGAGAACCACGGAACCAGACTTGATCTCTCCTTCATTTTCCAACCATTTTTGACGATGTTGAAGTTTTGACAGATACTCGACATGCCATTGACTCCAAAAACTTTGTCGGGCCTTGGAAATGTATCGCCAGATGGATAGTCGATTATCTGGAATCAATGAGTAATCATGGTCAGGTAAAACGGTCAGTGGACGCCCTATTAAAAAATGCGCTGGTGTTAAAGGTTCAAGATCATTAGGATCAGTGGACATCGCATTTATTGGACGAGAATTAAGTATCGCTTGAATTTCGACGAATAGCGTGTATAATTCTTGGAATGTCAATAGTTGCCCTCCCACTACCCGTTTCAAGTGGTGTTTTGCCGATTTCATCGCGGCTTCCCAAATCCCTCCAAAGTGCGGTGACACTGGTGGGTTGAAATGCCACGTGATGTTTTGTTGGGTCATGATATGTTTAATTGATGTTTGAGTCGATTCAGAATTTACAAAGGTGAAAAGATCTTGCATATGCTTGTTGGCTCTAACAAAATTAGTACCGTTGTCGGAATAAATGTGTATTGGCCGTCCTCTATAACCGATAAATCGTCGCAACGCGGCTATGAATCCCTCTGTAGATAGATCAGTTACGAGTTCTAAATGTACTGCCTTGGTAGCCAGACAAATAAACACACAGCCGTATACTTTTAACGTTGTTCGATTTCGAAATTTTTTCTCTTTCATGGAAAGAGGACCGAAATAATCTACTCCTACGTGACTGAACACTGCTGATTGATTTATTCGTGCGCTAGGGAGATCGCTCATTTTTGTATGAAGAACTTCCGGTTTGTGTCTTATACATTTAACGCATCGACGTATTAATCTTCGTATTTGTGCTTTACCGTCTAACAGCCAAAAGCGTAATCTAATTAAATATAGAGTCGTTTGAACTCCAGAATGCAATGAATTTTCGTGTGCTTCGCGTATTATCAACTCGGCTATTTGGGTGTAAGACGGTAAAAGAATTGGATGTTTCTTTTCTTCGGCTATGTGAGCACGACTCAATCTACCCCCTACTCTCAACAAACCAAATTCATCTATGAATAGACTTAATTTGCGAATTTTTTGGTTTTTTGCGGTTTGTCCCTTGACTAGACGATCGATATCGTGTTTTTAATGTTCTCTTTGAACCCACTGTAGTATCCTTTTTTCTGCTTCCAACCGTTCTGAAACGTCAATGATTTTATTTGACTGCGGATATTTCCATCTGCGGCAACAAGCAATTGCATTAAGAAATCTAGAATATGAAGAACATCCAATGGTGACTGCTTCCTGTACCACGACGAGACAAGTTTCGGTCTTTAAACCTGGTAAATTAATGATTATATTATTTGGGGATTTGGGCCAATTGAATTCGTCGCTTTGCAACCAGAATGAACCGTCGAACCAATCGCGACCTGCAATAAATTGAGACGGAGACTGTCCTCGTGGCAGTCGGTCAGCTATGTTATTTCGACCCGAGACGTGGCGCCATTCAATATCTCGTAATTTTTGTATCTTGGATACACGATTTGCTACAAAAACTTCTAATTCATTTGGGGATTTTTTCAACCACTGTAGTACGATTTCTGAATCGCACCAAAAAATCGTGCGATTGATTTTAAACTTAAATGAATCACGACATTCGTTGAATAATCTAACTAAGAGTAGTGCTCCACATAACTCTAATTTGGGAAGTGAGACGGTTTTGATTGGCGCCACTCTCGATTTTGAACATGCTAAACGTGCGATAACTTGATCAGATTTATTAGCTGAACGAATGTACAAAACTGCACCATAACCCAATTGACTGGTATCGCAGAAACCGTGGATTTCAATATTGCAGGCTTCTGGAATAATAAATAACCGTGGTATTGATAATTTTTTCAACTCAGACAACTGACCCGCAAAGCAAGTCCATTTTGTGTGCAAACTCTGGGGAATTGATTCGTCTCATTCCAATTTGATTTTCCAACATTCTCGCATGATTATTTTGGCATGTAATGTGATGGGACCCAATAGACCGAGAGGGTCGAAAATTTTTGCTATTTCAGACAAAATGTTGCGTTTGGTGATCTTCTTCGGCAAGTCAATTGTCTGGGCTGAATATTCGAAATGGTCTGTCATGGAATTCTAGGCTACACCCAAAGTTTTTTGAACGATTTCGTGTTCTCTTTCCGGGTTGATATGATAAATTTGGGACACGGTACACGAGTTCTGACGAGAACCTTGATCTTCTAGATCACGCAAAACCTGAGGGTGATTTGAATTCCATTTTTGGATGATGAACCCTTCACACAGCAATGCTTTTATGAGCTCGTCACGAGCCTGCAGAAGATTTTCCAATGGATCCGCACCCGTGATCAGGTCGTCTACATAAAAGTCTTCCCTTAAAATACGAAAAGCCAACGGAAAGTTAAGTTTTTCATCTTCTGCAAGCTTGTGAAGAGTTCTAATTACTAAGTAAGGGGCCGAAGCGACACCAATGGTGACTGTGTTTAATTCGAATGTTTCAATCTGATTGTTGTTATACCAAAAAATGCGCTGGAAGCGTCGATCATCAGGATGAACTAAGATTTGTCGATACATTTGTTTGATGTCAGCTGTCATTACGAAGAGGTGTGCCCTGAAACGAAGTAAGGTTTCAAACAGTTTGGGTTGGATCGTGGGCCCTACCATCAATTGACTATTCAAAGAAATTCCCTTATCCGTTTTGTTCGATGCATCAAATACGACGCGAGTTTTGGTGGTGGTACTACCTGGTTTAATTACAGCATGATGCGGGAGATAATATCCATCTGACTGCTCTCCGTATACTAGCGTCATATGCTCCAATTTGATGTAATCTTGCATTACAACACTATAGTCAGCGCAAAAATCAGGATTGCTTTAGAATTTTTTCTCAAGAGCCTTAAATTGTTGAAATGCTTTAGATTTTGAATTGCCCAGATCGGCTTGTGGTTCTTTAAAGGGTAGCTTTACTATGTATCGCCCCTGATTATTGCGCTGAACGTTTGCTTGGTAATGAGCTTCACACGCAACTTCCTCTTGAGATTTAAGAGGTTTCGTGCCGATTTCTTCAATTTCCCAGAACCTCGCGAAGAAGGGTTCGTTGGGGATTTTATTAGCGATAGTGTCAACGATTACACAGTTCAACGTTTTTTGATATTCATTCACTCTAGACTGAATAGTTATTTCAATGGTTCCCTTAGCTTCCACCTGTATTCCCTCGATTGCGCTGATCGTTCTTTTAGGCCCTTTAACTGTTAATCCAAGTCGCTGTACTAACTTCTTTGTTATAAGGTGAACCGTGGAACATGTGTCTAGTAATACGCGAGCTTCGGTAAACCTTCTACCGCGACCCTGGACTTTAACGACAGCACTCATCATTAATTGAGAGTTGGGCGACCGAGAAAAGGCACAAAACTCGTCTGTTGATAGTCATGATTCCTGACCTGTCTCTATTTTCTCATCGTTGATGTTGGGATTCGTGGTAGTTGTAATTGTCTTTGTTCCTGCATGTAAAAGCGTATTATGTCGTTTTGGATAGAGCTTACAAGTTCCTAGTTCGCAAGGACCGTTGTGAGATTTTAAACAGTTATAGCATAATTTATTTGTCTTAACGAAATCCCAACGTCTCTGTACCGAAAGTTTAAGGAAATCGGGGCATCTGAACAACTGATGATTTTGTTTACAATCGGGACACGTGATAGCAACGGTAGTAACTAGAACTCGAGACCCATCATTAGATTTTCGAGCCTTGGTGGCTGGGAATGTTCGATTAGTCGCGAAGCTCCCGGGATTGGCCACAGGTTTATCTCGCGTTTCCAGTCGACTATCGGTTTCCATGATGTATAAACGAGACGCTGTTACCTGCACGAATTTATAGAATTGTTCAAGGGATGGAAGTTCTTCAAGCGATAAAGTGTTCTCCCAGCTTCGTGGGATTGTCGGATAGAGTGTTCTCTCTAACAATCGGACCAAGACGCGATCTGATATATCTACATTCAATGTCTTCAAAATGTTTAAATGTTGTTTCGTGTCATCAACAAGTTTGGTCAACTCCTTGGAAGAGTGTGATTTCATGGGCGCAACATCAAATATTGCATCAAGATGCTTAGATACTAAAATTCGCTTCCGTTCGTATGACTCAAGAAGCGTCTGCCAAGCTTTGGCATAATTTTTCGGACTTATATCATAAAGTGAGATTTTGTTATAGGCTTCTCCCTTTAAGGAGTTTCGCAAATACATCAATTTGGTTAATTCGTTGATGTCGTTCCTAGCATCGATCGTTTGTAAAAAAGAATTTTTGTATGATAGCCAATTATCATGATCTCCTTCAAATTGCGGTAATTCTACGACGGGTAATTTTAATGATTTTTGTTTTTCAAAGAAACTCGCGTTATTTATTACACTCTGATTTTCCATATTTTCACAGTTAGCCTTTCGCTTTAATCTACTTACTTTCTCCGCTGCTGCAAAATACCGGATTTCTACTGCGGACCATCCATTTATTTTAATTATTTGATTACATTCGATAGATCGCTCATCTATTAATTTTTGTAATTCTTGGTATTGATTGGATAAATTGTTGAAACGGAGTTCAACTTGAAAGTACTGAGTATTCGAGTCATCAAGCAAAGTCTCAAGATCCTTTAGCCTCTGTTGAAACAATTGTGATAGCAAAAATAATTCCTGCTTTATCTTGTCCTCCATTTTGTGTTAGATAAATAATTCAAATGTAGGAGGGCAAATATTTAATTGTTTAACAATATAAAGAATTGAAGGTTAAATTGCCGATTATGACTAAAATATAATTATTAAATTTCAAGTGATTGTATCAAACGATTAAATGCGATAGACGATACATACGATAAACAATTGAATCTGGTAACAAATAAACGCGTTGTCAAATTACCCATGCGTCACCGTTGAATATTTATTTGAAATTAGTTTTCATTGACCGAAGTCAATCATGAATAAAAACTGTATGGTAGTGATTAAGCAAGGTGAAAACAAGTCTCAATGGTTTTAATGGTGATTATTACGACTTATCTTGCGTTTGAAGACGTAGATTAAGCTGTCGCTGGGAGAGAGTCTGGTCCTTGGTAGGAGTGATGGTATAGCCGATGACGTTGTGTACTGATGAAGTCGTGATCGCTGTTATAGGTGGTTTTAATGTGTTTTCGCAGATGAAGATTGTGGCGAAGCACAGATCCGAAGTATCTGTACCTCACAGGAGGCACCAAAATGTTCTGTAGAATTCCCAGTGAACCAAAGCGGTTTATCTGTGAATAGTTCGTAAGAGATCAATACTTAAATTACATGAATTTTCCTATTTACTTTGTTATTTGTCCACAATTTTAATTAAATCAACTATTAATTTGTTAAAGCTATTCTATAAGTTTGAGTTATTTTTAGGTTATATGATAATTATCACTAAAGAAATACAACATATTTGAAGGGAAAAACATGAAAAAAAACCCTTTTTTATTAATTGACAACTTACAAATCGGAAAACAGTAAATTATACAAATAATGCATTATTATTAACGAACTCATACAAAATGTGAAGAAATAAATGAAGTATGCAATTGAAAAAAAGTGTGCACTTAGTTATAACGCATCGCACTGAACAATTGAATAAATTAATAAATACCATATATTTTACCAGTACACGCACGCGCAGGCCTGTATTCAGTCGCGTAGACTGTTGTCCACTAACGACTGCAAAATGACCCTGATGGGCTTATTTTAAGTGAGGGACTGTTGTCCTCTCACCAGTAATGCAGGCTGAATGCCTCAGTTGTGTCCAACAAAAATTTGTTAGATTCTAAATGATTAACGTTGATCACGCCCGAATGAATTATCTCGTGTGTGTGTGTGTGTGCGCAACGAATCAATAATGGCGACCGAACAAAGGGGGAAACGAGAAAAAGAATAACGCACGCCGATGCACGTGAACCTGTTTTTTACAAAGGCGTTCGCGGAATTGTTTGCGCTTCCGTGTCAAGTAAACAAGAAGGACTCATGTATCCCAGTCTATTTATATGTATGACTTTATTGTTACACGCACTACGTTGTCAAGTAAAATCCCCTTGGCAGATACGATAGAATTACGCGTCATTCACTTATTAAATGCGTTTTAATGATTAATTTCAAGACGACGTTCTCATGCTCGTTGTATAAACGTCTTAAATCGAAAGCAAAACGCGACGTGTTTGATGCTTATAGAAAACATAAGGCTTGTAAAGCTAGTACTTACGTGACTAAATGCCCAACCCGAAGATAAAAAAATGGCGGCTCTTTGGTTGTGTGGTGAGAGGCTGTACGGCACACACCCCAAACGGAGAACGAAGGATTAGCTTAACGTGTTCGCTCACTTCTCAGTTCTTTCGTCGCGCCTGGTCGAGCTCGCTTGCCAGAATGCGTAAAGAAATAACGCTGCGCACCTACTGCTCCCACTCTCTCTCCGTACAACATCGCCCCCCTTAGGGGGGCCCCCTATGTGAGCACGCATGCGCTGACCTGTGTAGTCGACTTTCGACGGAACAAGAAATCTTAAGGAAACGTGTTTACTGGAGAGAGTTAGCCGGTGGTTGTATACTCTCTGAATCCAAAGCTTGAAGCGAATACATTCCAATTTCCGAACATTAGAAGTCTACAAGACATCTTAAAGAAATCTTCAGAAAATGTGTTGAGTGGGTCAAATCGCAATCCCATATGATTAGTACGATTAGCACCATCTCTACATCTTCAAGTTACTCACAAATCTACTCAATCTATGCAGTTTAGTCATTTAGTGTTCATAGAGTGGGTATGAGGGTATATCGCATGAAGCTCACCCATTAGATAGATGGTGCGACTGTGCCTTAGTGAAAATTGCGTCGTTTGCGTGCAACAGTATACTTTTATATACAATTTCAATTTCTTTACCTATACACATTCCATATACAGTAGGTGACTCGCATATACAAGTATTGGGAATATATACGCCTGTACCACGTGACACGGTGATACATATATTTATGATTACTAGAGGAAAAGCAATACAGGCCTTATGCAAGAAATGAAGTTTTTATTGTTTTTCGTGGTTGAAAAGGTGTTTAATATAACAAGTTATTAGATTACATATTTTTAACATTATAAGAGTTAGGTTGTAATTTTTTTCATACGATGAAATTGTTTATTAAGGCCATAAATAGCTTTTTGATGGTACAGTTGGATTTTGATTGGAAGCACAGTTGACCCTATGTTGAGCTACTCCTACTCGTTTCTGCTGCTGCTGCTGCTGTCGCTGTTGCGCCTGCTCAGATGTAAACAAGCAGCTTGATGTTAGGTTGAACTGTACTTCGTACTGTAAAAAGATGTTTTCGGCCTTAATAAACTATTTCATCATATAAAAAAAGTAAGAACTTAAGTCTCACAATGTTAAAAATATGTACTTTAATAACTTTTTATGTTTACCACCTTTTCCACTACGAAAAAAAATAGTAACTTAATTTCTCTCATAAGGCCTGTACTACTTTTCATATATATATATCGCCGTGTCACGTGCTACAGGCATATTCCCAATACTGGACTCGTTCTAAATGGTGTACTGACGAGCGTACCTGGGTACGCAAGCAACTTTTTATTTGGAACAATCCGTCTGTATGTACAATATTTACCTGTATAAATTAGAAGAATTATATAGATTTTTTTTTATATTATAGTGCTCTACGTCCGGCTCCTTTGATAAGGACACTACTATGGGCACTTAGCACTTTGGAGAAGGAAGGGAAGAGGGATAGGAGGCCTCCCATTGGGAGGGGGGGGGGGTAGGGGAAAATTAGGCAATTTTTGCTGCGAGAAGGTCGCCTAAACCCTTTTCGAGGAGCATTGCGTGGTGAAAAATCTCAGAGGTACTTGCCCGAAAAAGTCGCACTGGCCGAGAATCGAACCACGGTCTCCCGTGTGCCAATTCACGACCTAGCCGACTGAGCCACCGCGCGCTCGAATTATATAGATACCTTATGTATTTTGTATATAAAGACTCTGGTGTGCCACGATTTTATCATTTGAAACGTTCCAAAGCCGCGTCATCTAACAAAGCTTCAAGCGGTATACTTTTAGAAGGGAGTGTGGCTGAAGACGCCATTTTCGGGACCAAAATGGTAGGAAAGCGGTAGAAAGAGAAACACAGATTTACACGCATTTATGTCCACATCTTCGCTTGGCTTGTTATTTTTCAGTTAGTTCTGAAAATGGTGAAGCCAACCAGTAACTTTTGGACACTTTAGCCACACTTCCTGCCTACTCTAGTTTTCAGGACAAGTTATAGCCAACCTTATGGCAGAAACTTACTAGTACAGTGGGTTGAGGGATAGTGTGGTGATGGGCCGCCATGTTCAGGACTAACACAGAAACTGTCTATCTATATGTATGTTACTCAATTACTCGTACATATCAATGGATACATATGAGATTCCGAGTAAGTAATTGTTTGATTCGGATTGTATGCGTGGTTGTCCTCAATATGATAGAGCTAATCAGGAGAAGCTCCCGCATCTGCTATTCGCTTTGAGCGCAATTCCGAAATCGCGCCCCCACTGGGAGGTATTGCGTAACTTCTACACCACGCCACGCCACAACTTGACGTCACGTTACAATGCATAAGTAAATAATAACGTACCGTCAGTCTGTGGTATGGCGTGGTGTAGAAGTTACGCAATACCCCCCCTGGACACTTTGAGAACGATTGGTAGTCATTAGAAAAGGACAATACTATGAATTAATTTCCGCATGCTTGTAGAAAAGCGATATTTAAGGGTTAGCTACCTGGTGAATAGAGCCGGAAGCTCGATTTTATAATAATTACCTTTTCCAATTACGACCAATCGTTCTGAAAATGCCCAGTGGGGGCGCGATTTCGGAATTGCGCTCAAAGCGAGGAGGGAGCGAAGGAGTATTCCGTAACTTCTACTACACGACGCCACGCCACAGACTGACGGTACTTTACTATTTAGGCCGCGACCACATAAACGCGTCCGCACGCGTTTGACGTCCGTCAGAATCGTGTCTAGTTGTTTACTGCCAACGTGCAAACCTTAAATAAATTACAAAAAAGTGTGAATATACAGGATGTTTGGGAGTTGGTTCATTTAAAGTTGACAGCAAAGAACTAGGCACAATTTTCACGGACGTCAAACGCGTGCGGACGCGTTTATGTGGTCGCGGCCTCAATAGTAACGTATCGTATTAGTGGTATATCTATATCTCCAGAAACGTAAAGCACACGGGTACGGTACGGCATCACAGCACGGCTGCTGAAAGTGCTGAATCGCTCATATCATTCCAAAAAGCAGGGCGCACGCAGGGTCCGTACCATATAACTTTTTTTAGCTTCGCGGGCCTATGTTATAACATATAGGCCGATGTACTGAATAATAGTTACATGGTATGACCCCAGGTGCACACTTTTGGAGCGTTCCAAAAGCTAAAATTGCGTGCGCCTGAACTGCTCCAACTTATCAGAGGATACACATTGTTAAGGGAGCTTTATAAAACCAAAATGCATATATATTGTATGTATTGTATATGTATTAGGTGTTGTACATTCATAAGGTTTGTTCAATCATCCACCTTAGAGCGCTCCGAGTGCTCCGAGGCCTCCGAGCGATCTATAAATGAACACGAGTTCTTTGTCGGAGAACTCGGAGGCCTCCAAGATATCTTTATACAATATAGGTATACTCACCGCTTATAACTGATGTTTGTAAACAATGAGCAGCTATAGTGAGTATACCTATATAGTATAAGGATATCTCGGAGGCTTCCGAGTTCTCCGACAAAGAACTCGTGTTCATTTATAGATCGCTCGGAGGCCTCGGAGCGCTCGAAGTGCTCCAAAGTGAATAATTGAACAAACCTATAGGTTATTTAAATTAAATTAAAGTTTTTTGTTTATAAAGGATCCTTCACATTAATAATATCATACTCATCACACAACTCACCTAAAATCTACTCAGCCGATAACCAATCTGCACTTTAGGCGCGTGCCTGCGATTTTTAGCTTTTGGAACGCTCCAAAAGCATCGATCCAGGCGCACGCGGCCACGCGCGCCCTGCCTTTTGGAATACTCTCCGTGTGCATTGCTGTTTGGACTTTGGACGTTTGGACCCTTATAGTTTATTCGGTATTCCGAATTCCGATATTTTCGACGCTCCGACCTATTCGAGCACTCGAGAGAGCGGTGCGCCATTTTTTCTATTATAAATACAATATAGATATACACCGAAACGTTGTATCTACGCCTTCAGTAGCGGGTTATAGCAAAAAAGGCAAGTGCTGACTACAGGGCCGGCTAGTTCTCACAGTTTTCCTCTTTTTTAGTACGTCGCGCGATCTCCGTCTCTTTCTTCGTCTATCAATCTCAGTTCATCGTTATATATTAACATCAATTTTTGAAGTGAAAGCTCTAACTCCGTGCCTCCGTGGTTACATAGATATCTCGTTAGCGCGCCACACAAGGCACCACACGACACGGTGGTCCTTCCAGGCACGTAGATACCCGAGGCGTGCTTTTCGTTGACGTCGTCACCGAGCAATCCCAGCCGGTGTGATTTTCCCGGAACGTCCCCCTCCTTCGTCTGCTACCAAGTACGTATACTGCGGCCAAGAGCGTGGTACGTGCAATACACGCGACTACTTAGCCTATACTCTTACACCTACTAGGAGGAAGGAAGGAAGGAAGGAAGAAGGGCAGGCGACTAGGAGCGAGAAAAAATCACGTTGAAGTCCAGGAAGCCTACTCTCGTTGCAGAGCTCCGCCAAGATAAGTGGACGAGCCAAGGTAAGACGCTTTTGATAAGCTAGAGGCTATGCTGCTTGTTGACCTCAGCGTGCGTCTGTTTCCGGGCCGATGCCCGGCTGAGAGGGGGAAGGGGTCGTAAGAGTGCAGTCGTAGCATGTAACCTGGTTGCTTGGCCACTGCTCTACCTTGCGTTCTTTTTGTTCCACAGCAGTAGTGAGTAAATAACGACGTGTGTGAGTCCAATCGTGCTGGAGAGATCGAACTATTTATCTCGAAAACGGTACGCTACCCTCAAATACTCGGCGGCTAACCCGACCTTGGATCCCGAATCATTTGCACACGCTCGAGCGCCCACGAGTGCCTTCCTCTGGCTGCTTTTCCCTTTCTTTTTCTTCTCCAAATGCAGATCCATTTGTTGCCTAATCTCATGCGTTCGCACGCCGCAACTCTACAGTACACCTACTTAGCTGCTTACTAATTCCTTATTTACGAAACGTGGGTGCTGACAAGTGCTTTTGTATGCATATCGTGTGTAGATTAATAGTATGTTCCGGTTATTTCTTGCGGCCGTGACTATTTCAGATATATGCTTTTAGGGCTCCCACCAACTACATGATAGCTTACTTTGACTAAGTAATTCTACTTGATTCACTTGATATTAACGTAACTCTATAAATAGGCTTACAGCTACTATTTTATTGTTGGTACTTTCTGTGCTTTCGCTAGGTAGGTAGATTTGGTAGATAAACACTGATCATCTCTACACTCTATGTGTATAGTATTTACACAATCTTTTTATTTTTAATCATTTCTAAGAAACTTTCCTGACATCCCAAAAGTGATAAATTTAATAGAAAAAAAATTACTATCAACATGTTGGTATCAACTAATAGATTTTTCTCTTGTTTCAGAATTGCTACCGTCCAGTTACCTATAATACTGGAAACAAAATAAGATTTTCTGCTTGGAAAAGTTAAAAAATAGAAGTTCAGGAAATGGTCATGGAGGCATCCCCTTCGCCGCAGAGTGTCGGTCGTGAATTTGTCCGACAATATTACACCCTGCTTCATAGTGCTCCAGCACATTTGCACAGGTATTTTGCATTATTATTTTACTCTTATTTACATCATTTTCATTGTAATGCTTAAACGATCAATTTTAGGTTTTACAACAACTATTCTTCTTTTATCCATGGAGGCTTGGATTCCAATAGGGAGTCCAGTCCTGCAATTGGACAAAAACAAATTCATCAAAAAATCCAAGCACTTAACTTCCATGACTGCCATACCAAGATCACTCAAGTGGATTCTCAGCTGACTCTTGGTAGTGGAGTTGTTGTTCAGGTATATAATTTACTTATTTATATTTTAGTATCATGCTTCGTAAATAAATCAGTTACTATTTAAACAACTTTCGTAGGTGTCTGGAGAGTTATCTAATAATGGAAACCCAATGCGACGCTTCACACAAACTTTTGTACTAGCACCTCAAGCTCCTAAAAAGTACTATGTACATAACGATATTTTTCGCTACCAGGACTTTGGTTATTCTGATGAAGATGAAGAGGGAGAAAGTGAGAGAATCAATGAAGTAGTTGATAGGGAAGGTGAAAGTGAAAAGGTAAGAGCTGAAACTGAAGAGGAAAGCCAACAGGGTCAAATTCCACAATTGACCTCTAAAATTGGAAGCATTGAACAACATAGTCAGATTCAGCAACAACCAGTTCCACTGAGTCAACAGCAGCCAATGTATTTTGCCATGCCTTCGCAGCAGCCAGTAATTTGTTTTTGAACTTCTTGTTGTACTAAATATATATGGTTTTTAGTATTTTTTCATTATAACTTTTAAAACACTTTTTCAGCTTCATCCTGTGCCGCAACAAATGACCATCAATGGCTCTGTCCATGAAGATACTCCCATTATTCCTCAGCAGCCAGTACAACAGCAACAGGCTCTTTTGCAGCAGCAGCAGCAACAACAACAACCTCCACAAGTATCACAACAGCAGTACATGTCTGAACCAGTTGCTCAAGAACAGTTTCAACAAGAAAGTGAACCAGAGTCTCAGCCACAACAGCAGCAATTACCACCGATAATCAAGTCAGAAGTACCGACAGATGAAAATGAAAGAATTGAAGTTGAATCGAGTTACGTGTCATCTGTCCAAAAAACTGAACCTGAACATCAAGTATCCTCCCCGCCTATCAGCAGTGGGCCAAAAACATATGCAAATTTGGTAAAGTCTTCTATTGGAACAGTTAATCCCCAGGTCTTGAAGCAAACAATGTCACCAGTGAGTACCAAAAATATTATCTTTGTATATTTAAAAAACAGTATATCGCTAAAATTTTAATTTTTTTATTACTTAACCAGCCTCCGATTCAAAACGTCCGCATTGATGACCGTGTGCCAACTCATCATCAACAGTCTGCTGGAACGTCACTACCAACCTCTAGCGTAATGCAAATGGGTCCACACATACACAGAATGTCTGGTCCACAACAGCAACAACAGCAGCAACAACAACCACAGCAAACGCAACAACAACAGTACCCTCAAAGATTACCTAGAACGAGTCTTCCGGTGCAACCAAGAGGTAGTGATATTATTGTCCAACTAGTTTGTTTGTTTTTCAATTTTTTATTGTGTAAGCACTAGTTACATTTACTGTAGATGGAGAGCGCAGGCGACCTGGATACACGGATGCACATCAACTGTTCTTAGGAAATCTGCCTCATAATGCTTCTGAAAACGACTTGAGGCAAGTTTTTGAACGTTACGGTCGCGTAGCTGATCTCCGTGTGCATAGCAAACAGAACGATCGCACGAAAGGACCGCCAGGTCAGGGTCAAAATAACACCAGGGTCCCAAATTATGGTTTCATTACGTTTGAAGATTCTAGTGTTGTCAGTAAAGTGCTTGATGACTTGGTAAGTGAATATACAGCAGGCGCTAAAGTTACTATTTTTTCAGTTAGGAAAAATTTGTTAATTTCTTTTTTTTTATATGTGTAGCCTATTTACTTCCCTGATGAAAATGGACAGAAGTTGAACGTTGAAGAAAAAAAATTCAGACCAAGGGAAAACCAAGGTGGTCGACCGAGTCTTGGGGGAGACGTTAACATGCGCTCCTTAGGAGGCCAACAGCAACAACAGCAGCAGCAACAGCGCGGTCCAGGTAATTATTATTAATATTGTCAGTTGATTGTCACTAAAAAGGTGTTATAAATGTTGTTTGGATGAAAATTAGTTGTTTATACACAAACTGAGTTTATTCAATGGAATCATTCAATAAACTCATGAGCACATCAAAATTTTATTCATATGTTTTGTGGGCATGTAAAACTGATTCATATCTAATAAGTTTATGATTCATATCTAATAAGTTCATTAAATGTTTCCGTTCTGTTAAGGTGGCCCAGGGGGAATGATGCGAGGTGGTCAACATGGAACACGTGGTCGTGGAGCATATAACCGTGGAGGAGGCGAAGGTGGCCGAGGTGGTCTGAGACAGCCTAGTGGTAACCCAAACAATCAAAATTTCCAAAATCGTCGCTAGTTTTTGGCTAACCAACCAATGTCGACGAGCTATTTTGCAGTTCAGCCACGTTTTTCCGCCCTTTCGTCTACATACAAACATCAAGATTAAAATATTAAATTAAAGATCAAGCAGACAAGAATAAGCGCGAAATAATGAGCTTTGCTCAAAAAAAAAAAAATAAAAATAAAAATAAAAAAAAACTAACTTGTACGTAATACAAAAGAAAAAAAAGAGACACAAAATATGAATTCGTAATAAAATACTAACTCGAGAAAATGACATTCCGACCGAAAAGGAATTAAACTTTCGCGAGATTCTTCCATTAAAACGAAGATCGTTCAGTGCAACATATAAACTTTAGTAAGAGCGTAAATTACAAGAAAAAAAGCATACTTGAATAATACAAGTACACTAAAGAGTGAAAAGAGACTTTTGTCAATTCAAGTTAACACCGACCTAAACGTAACTATGCATAATTTAATTGGGAATTGTTTTCAAGGCCTTCCAACGATTTCAATGGCAATGGAAATGTGCTTAATTTTGTTGATTCACCAGTTTAAAGTTTAATTTTTCAACTTGAGTGACTCGAGAATATTTTGCTTGTCTTGATTAAGTTGTGTTTAAGTTATAGTTAGGCAAATTGTGCGTGTAATAAATGGGCTTTCGTTCATCGAGTCATGCATTTTGAAATTAGGTTGTGCTTAAGTTTATTTAGTTGTGCCTTATATTAACGGCGGTCTGCATAAATTAATTAGGTTATGCTCAAGTTGAACCCAAGTTTTGCGTTTAAACTCAAAAAGTTATGCGTTGAATAACCGAAATTTATCGCGTAGCTCGTATGCTGTAATTTATCGACTAAATAAGTTAAACATGTATAAAGTTTTACATGACCTAATTAACCTTTGCATAGCATTTTCAAGTTTTGTATAACTGTAAGTTTTAGTTAAGTTTATTATTAAGGACTGCGTAATACTTTAAGTCTTGCTTAACTTGACTTTTATTCGCATAACTTTTTAATTTTCAAGTTTGCATAACTTAATGGAACTTGTGCATAACTCCTATGAATTTCGTATAACTTGATTAACCTTTTCACAACCATTCAGTCATGTATAAAATACTTAGCCATCGCATAAAATTTGGAGTTGTGCATAAGTTTAATATCTTTTGCATAGCGTCATTATACCTGCATATTTTTATTGAGTTTTGCATAAACATTTTGTCCATACAGAACTTGTTTAAGTGCATATCCATTTGAATTTTTACTGTTAAGGAAACTGGTTTTCCTTTTCCTTCATCTTATACCCGTGGATTAATAAATTACAACAAGAATTATACAAAATTACCTGGTTACTAAATTTTTTTCCAAGAAAGCCAAAACTTATTGTGACAAAATATCAGTTTTTGCCATTTTACTATAAACTAGTGAATGAGTGTATTTCGCAAGTAACTAGAGCATTAAACATTTATACGGGAAAAAAAAAATGTACATTAACTCAAATTTTGTATAAATTATTATTTACAGAAAAAAGTTCTGTCTTCAAAATTTCGTCAAAAGAAATTTTATCATTATTGTGAATATACGCATAACTTGAAACTGGTTTTTTTCCTTCGCTTAGGTAATTAGCATCTTCAATGAGTGATGATTTTTTAGAATAATTATGTTTTTTAATCATTGTTTTGCGCGAAATCATGATACAGGAGAGTTGAGATAATACACGACAACATGTGTGCGATAAAGATGACACCAAATTATAGAAGCCAGCATAGGCAAAGAAAAGACAATGAACGAGTGTCACGAGTGTATTGTAACATTTTTTGCATTTAGTATAATATACCTACCTTAATACTAAAAATAATACTGTTGTTTCTTTATTTTGAAAAAATTTTTCGTGAGAAAGTTGAATGTTTAAAATATTTTCATCCTGTAGTTTTTCAATAGAATTCAAAGAGAACGTTGATATTAACTTATTGAACAATCAAATAAAATACTACTTGATTCATATAAGATTTTAATATCCAAGTAAATTATTTCGTCCAAATTCTGTACAACGGAGATACAATTTATGCAGTGCGTGTGTAGAAAAGCATCATTCGAGTCGCTCCATTTATATGCAAAATTAAAGTACAAAACGAAAACAACAAAATTGGCAGGTTAGTAAGTATCCAACATGGTAACAACGATTCTTGTACACTCACCGTATATACCTTGATTCGCAAACCGCGAAGTTTGAATTCTTGAAGTAATTTATCGTATTAAAACACGAGGAACAACCATAACCATAAAATAAAAATATAACGATAAACAACTATTGAACAATGTTAAAATCATGTTTTATGTTTATTTCTGACAAAAAAAAATTTAGGATTTCTAACTTTACGATTTGCGAATCAAGGTACGGTGAGGCTGCGTATACATGGAGTCTCTTGAACTTCCAGGACCAGTGACAATGATATTAAGGATTTGGATTCAAAAGCCTACTCCGGGAGCTTAAAATGTTCACCACAATGTAAAAGCTCTGGTAATAGAACATAAAGATAAGAGGCGCTGATGTCAGAAAGCTTATAAAGCCTACTGTCGCAGTTTGCGAAATTCTTAACCTTATGCCAAGTGTTTATACCTATACGTATAGCAAATACGGTACAAATATATAGGTATTTGCTTAGTGATTGATCATTTTTAGGTACGACCAATGTATGAGAGTGCCTTATAATTTGTCAGAGCAAAAAGTGCAACCACTTATAAATCGTCTATTTTTAGTATAAAACAAATTTTTAACCTAATAATATGAGGGTAATCTGAGTTGGTCACATGGTGTATGATGTGTGGAAGTAATGTAAGTTTTCAAGTTTTTCGACTAACTCAAGTAATTATGGTCCAAATGGGTTGAAATTTGGTTCGTAGCTTAGAGTTGGATGTCTCAGCTGATGATGGTCATAGTTTTAGACAAAAGGTTTAATAGATATTCTAATAATACACCTTTTTACATTCACCAATTTCATCCACAGTATTATAATACACTTAATGTCGAAAAACGTTTAAAATGGCTGAAAAAGCGTTTGTTAGTTTAAATTCCAAATTAATATAACGATATTAGAGCTCAGTTGGATATAATAGTGGAGTAATATCACAACTGAATCCTGTTTCTGTAAGGCTATTTCGATGTATTTTTTCCTCCTGAATCTAAATTTTTTTGTCCGAAGTCCGACAAATGGCCCGTTTTTTGTTATAAACAATTTACATTAATAATAACAAAATAAGTTGTTTATTGACAAAAAAAAATCAAATCTGATTCTTTGGCACATTTTGAACAAAAACCCAATTGGGATGTATATACTTAAACCACATAAATTTTGCGTGAAAAATTCAACTTTGAAAAAATGTGTTTTTTCACGATTTTCGATCGCGTCTTACTCAACCGCTACTGCATGTAACTTGTTCATACAAAAATTTCCAAAGTCCGAAAATAGTCACATTAATTGTTATAAACAATATCAGAAAAATTGATTTTCTGACGAACCAAAATTTTTTCAAGATTGGCTTGTTTTATGCCGAAAAGGTCTCCTGTAATTTTTTGCAAAATGTACGGTAAACTAAGAAAAATGTGTAAAGTTCAAAGAAATCGTACACACACGTGTGTGCGTGTGTGTGTGTGTGCGCGGGACACGTACCTTATACTTATACGCGTTACCTTGTACTCCTTGTAGGCCTTGCAGCGGTGTATGTGTGGGTGTATGTACGATTTCTTTAAATTAACGAATTTTTCTTAGTTCGTCGTACATTTTGGACCAACAAATGTAGATTCAGGAGACAAAAATACATCGAAACTGGAATGGACAAATTTCTGTACGAACAAGTTACCTACCCTGCACCCCCGTGCCTACTGCGCGAGAGAGATCGCTGCATAGAGATTTTCGCTATATCTCTTGAAGGCAATTTTCAGAGAGTGCTTTCTGCAAGGCAATTCGGAGTTGGCTTGCAAAAAGCACTCTCTGAAAATTGCATTCAAGATAGCGAAAATCTCTTTTAAATTCGGTAAGATAAGCTGTAAGTTCTTCTGATAAGCATACAATATACCGTTATTTTCGAATACTTTATTTCTTAATCTTCTATTACACGCATACGTACTTATACGCTGGTGATGTAAACTTACCACTACTAATTCCGGTGTATGAAATTTTAATTCGAAGATTTGTTTCCGTAGATAATAATGGTACTTTTCAAAAACATACAAATAACTTGCACTTTAACCTATAAATAATAATGTTGTTAACATTTTCACTAAACTCGAAAAAGTCACAACAACATCCCATTTAAGGAACTTTATTGGCGTTACCATTTATGATATTTATTACAATTTATATCATCAATTTAGTATTATCAAAAATTGGTATGAATGAAACAGATGATGAACTAGCAAGTACATAGGGGTAAATGACCCAACTACTGCGCAGGTACCAATTACTGCGCACTTGACGGTAACTGAAAATAAGAAAAACAGACTGAAAAATTTGGGTGCTTGGATATTGTAACACGTACGGACATTAATAACGTTCAATCCAGAATCATACTTTACATCATGACATTTATAATTGTTTAACTGAGTGACTCTAAACGAATCTAACCTACAAAACTTTGTAGTCGTGCGTAGTGATTGGTGCGCAGCAATTGGGTCTAGGGCTTCAGCATGAAAACCTTATGGGAGATACCCGCGCAGTAATTGGGGGCGCAGCGACTGGTGCTAATTTTATAACGGTACGCAGTAATACCAGCAAGTGATATCAGCACTAAAACAATAATTTAAAAAAAAAAGTTACTTAACAGAAAAATGTTTGTCGTTTTAATCGCACAAGATGCTGCAGGTAAAGATTAAGTAAAACTGGTTCAATTTACATCGAAAAACATTGAGAAATGAGAAATTAAGTACAATCAAAAATTTCAGTGCGCAGTAATTGGGTCATTTACCCCTACTTACAAACTGTTTGCAAGAATTTGAGACTTCTTCGACTAGAATGAGAGCTTTTCTGTCAACTTTCTCCATTGTTGGTAAAATGCTATAGTGAGTAAATATAAATACTCTGTATCACCAAAATCGTGCTTGATTTAAATCGTGCTTTCTTGCAAAGAAATAATTGCCGTCCTTTAATTCGCTATTATTCATCGTGTTTTTACTTGCTTATAATCGACTCTCAAAGAGAAATGTAAAAAAACGTATGTATGTATTAAGTTTGTTCTTCAAGTAATTCTTAATATTACATTTTGAATTGCCAGCAGTTGTGGGCCTGCACCTGTTATAGGATTGTTGTGATTTTTGAAGTAACTATAATATACTATATATAGTTATGTTGAAAGCGCTTCACCCCTTGAACATCGGTACACTTTTGTAGTATAGGTAGCGGTATGGAAGGCGCGCTCGCGTACGAGAGGAGGGCGCGAGTAAAAACTCACGAAAACCACATGGATAAATCAACGAAAACGACTAAACGGACGGAGGAGGCTGCATGACGCGAACGTTCGAACAAAATGTACGGTGTGCTTGCGCGCTTATACCTCGAACTCCTCGAAGTAAACGAACGCGGGACGGCGGGAGTCCAACGGAAAAAAGACGAAGCCAACGCGCTGTGTGCCCCGATCCCCGATCACTGTAGGGCCAGTGTACACTGTACAGCCGCGGCGACATCTCGCAGTCTCCGCTGGCCAAGCGAACCCGTCGGTCTGTCCACTTACTGCTCCGGCGGTTGGCTGCTGCATCCCTCAGGTTTGTTGATTTTTACTCTTTCTTCGCGATGGCTCATTTTTTTCTGCAATACTCGTTCATTTCATCTATACCACCGGTTTAATAGCTCGCAAATCAACAGAAAGACCCTTTTTTCGCCTCCAGCTTGAAAAATAAGTACTACTCTGTTGGCATTAGCGTCTGTGTAAGAGATAATTTGATCATGTTATCACCGCCCGTCGTGTAATCATTATACTTATAAATAGTTTATGTTGTCGTTTGGACGGATTCAAAAGATGATTTTTTTTTTAGGGAACCAGAGCTTCAGGAGTAATAGATTTCAGCCGAGTTTTACTTATGTAATGGGGTTAATATCACTTGTGCTTGCAAAACGGCACGATCGCTACGATGACAAAAATTGTTTTAAGTATTGACATGTTCGAGTTAACGAGAATAAATCGATGGCAGAGACCGAAAAATGTACTTTAACAACTCGTTACGCGTAGACAGAGAAAAAGTTTTGTCACTTGTTTTCCCATTGGAATTGACTTCTATCGGTCTAAATACGTCATTACTTTACAACACTCAACGATGTTTCGGTAATGCTAATTTTATGTGGTGATTTCAGTCGATAAATTAACAGTAAAAAGCCAGTAGTAAAAAAAAACCTACGAATTTTAACTAATAGCTATAGTTGTTTTAACAGTTTTCATAATACTTTATGTAGTTGTCCGTTATAATTTTATTTTTACCAATGACATGTTATAAAGTAACCGCGCACCCTTTGTAGCAGCAGAGTTTAAAATCGCAACGATCTTACACAAGTGTGTCGACAATACAGACGCAATGAGAGAAAAATGGAGATTTTTAGTAGAAAACAAAAAAAAAAAAAAAAAAAAAAACTGAGAACACGCTTTGATAAAAACTTTTTTATTTTTGTCTTTCTTTCGTGACGTATAAAGTATTAGTCACGGATACACAGCGAAGCTTTCGAGTGGGCGTCCCTTTTCAGATAAAAAAATTGCATCCTGATCGCGATAGTCCGTATAGGAAATAGAAGCGGATGTACATTCACTGCCTACTTTGATATTCCATTTGATGACATCTACTCCGTTTTTCAGACACGGAGTCAGTGTTGTGCTAGCGAAAACTAGTTCATTAACTGAGATAACGATTTTGTGGTTTAAATATAACGTAGGTATCTATGTAAAACGGCAATGCCAACGCGAACTTTTTTTTCATTGCTCAAGCATACTTGATATATAGCTTGGGCATGATTAGTACGAGAACTCGTATTGCTTATCATTTTTATTTCTTGAGGAATGAATATTAATGGTAAAATGTTTGATTTATAAGTTGAGTTTACCGTGTGACATGGGATATATGATTTACAACATCAAAATACACCGAGAAACGAAAAACACTATTTTGTATTGAACTTTTGGAATTTGGAATAGTTATCGTACCTTACGTAGGCGCAAAGTACAACTTCAGGGTCCGAAGAAAACAGTTAGTAGACGTTTGCACCCGAGTTGCGAACCATCCTTATTTTGGCCGAGGGCGGAAAGTGCGGCAAGACCTTTGCACTCATGGTGGTGGGATGACGCTTCTGGGACGACATAGTACATTCGCTCTACATTGCAGCAAAATTGCATGAATTTTGATACCAAATCCTAATTTGAAATAGGTACATATCCCGCGTAAAAATTTTTAAGTTTGGCCAAACTTGTGCAAAAGTTCATGTGGTTAACGTTTGTCCAAACTTTGGCCAAGCTTGGGCAATGAGAAAATCCCAAACTTTGATTTTTTTTTGGAATATTTGACTCAAGTTTAGCAAATGTTCTTCCAAACGTCTAAAACATTAATTTGTTGCGTCAGGATATTAGTTGGTCTGCATATATGACTTACGAAAAATATTGAGTAAAATATTCCAACGAAAATCCAAGTTTGGGATTTTTTCATTATCTTCTCATTATTATTTTTTCATTTTCTCCAAAGTTTGGCCAAACGTTGACCATGTGAACTTTGGCGAAAGTTTGGCCAAACATAAAAATTTTTACGCGGGTACGTGTATTAGTTAGACACTAGCGCCGAACTCCTACTTTCAATTTTTATCTCAATGTGCACAGAGCGAATACGCAAATCGAGCACAAATGTGCAACAAACGCAGGTGTTTTGTTCTTAAGTTTGTACTTAGCGACATAGTGACGTAATGCACTATTCCCTAGTTTGGACATTTTTTTATCCTCGTAAGTTTACTGGGCCACAGTAGAAAAAATTGTCTCCACACCTAGTTCGCACCCAAGTAGGGCAACCACATAGGGTTCCTCCTGGTGCTTGCTCTGGTGACGTGCACCGCCTGGTATGAAAACTACTATTCTACTTTTGTCTTTTTTTTTGTATCTTTGGGCACGACGTACACCCATGGTAACAAAAATAAAATTTGACAAAAACTGCTACATTTTCTTTGAAGCAGCCACGATAGTGCAACTCCTTCTATAATATATAGACGAATTTACGCCGATTCATTTTTAATCGACTTGAAAATCAATTTTTACTCAGTTAAACTTAACTAGTTTATAAGAAATTTAATAAAAATTTTTTTCTACAATCTCAAATAGTACATATATGTATTATATGCTTAGCGCGATTTTTTATTCTATTTGTACTTTTATACTTTTGTCAATATTTTAGTTAGTAAAAGGGAAACTAAAATTATACTTTATTTCATATACGTGTGCATAAGTTCAGTAGGTAAGAAAATAATAAAATGAGGAAAAAAAAATAATAATAAACGAAGTCAGCAACATTTTTTATTAAGATAGTTTGATTTTATTTAACCCCAAATGCTGATTCGAATCGACGATTAAAAAAAAATTCCGGCAATCAACATTAGAAATAGGCCAAAAGTTTCAATAAATTCGATTGAAATTTAACTTCGCTTAAGAAACAAAATCAGTAAATCCGAGACAAAATAAACAAGGCTAAATGCACACCATCTTGTATCAAAATAATGTCAATACATCTACGTCCAAATTTTCAAACGAAGATAAACATAAAAAAAACTTATCATATTAACCATTTATCATACAAAAATAGATAAGTTTATAAAGCTTTTTGAAGATTTAGCGTGCCGTTCCCGAGATATTTTATTTTTAATCAACATGTTTAAACATTGATGTCTTACAGTAGTTTGTGCTACTTTTCGTTAGTAATTACAAATATTTTCTTGCAATTGATTTAAAAAACTAATACACTGTGAGAAATATAACTTCTATTTATCTACAAAAAATTAGAAATATGTCACGTGACCTTTGATGATATCTCAATTTAAAAGGACGTCACTACGCCATTAGTATTCATCGATTCGTTGTTTTCAATTTTTGGCATTTCTTTAAACATATCCCTCTATTTTTGTTAGTTTTGCGAATGGAGACTTATTTAGTAAGATAATAGTATAACCATATAAGAAATCAATGCCATCACTATAAAATTATCTTTTGATTTGACACTATCTTGGCCCAAAATTTCAAGCGATACCTTCTTGGACCACGATTTGAACTGCCACTTTCTTCATCCACGGTTTGAGTTGACTCTTGTATACGCTTAACCATCGGCATAAATATGTATGTCAGTTACACAGCAATGCAGAGCCAAACAGACTACATCAGTACCTTGAAGTGGCTGTAAAAAGAAAAAAAAGAAAAAAAAAACTGCTTCTTGAAAGACCTACACTTTTTTCCGCCAATAGGAAAGCACACAGCTCATCAGTTTCATGTTTTAAGCAAATCACTCAAATTGATTATTTCCACAGAAATCGATCCCTTTAGATCACTCGCCACGCTATCACAAAGCGTTAATTGTAACAAAGTTAAAAAAAAAAAAAAAAAAAGGAAGGAAGAGATTCTAACGTCGTTGCCGACACGAGCGATTTGACTCAATTCGCCGTTTCAAATTGAAGAACCCACTTTTGCCCTCATCCTTCCCTTAACATTCACGACCAATTGGAATTGTCGTTAAGGCTCGTTTGCAGCCGCAACTAGTCGGTGTGGTTTCACAACCACCTCGCTTAAAAAGTGATAAAACTCAGATTTTAATCTTGGATTTTTATTTCAACGGAGGCTTTTATTAGTAACGCCTCCGCTGGTCGGAGGAAGGAGAGTGTCCGTTGGGGAGGCTGAGGTAGTCCAGTGCACGTAATCGAAATATCAGAAAAATCACAAGATACCGCGATACGAGATTCAAAAAACAAATCAATGTTTTGGTGGGTCACACCTTCCAGATTTTAAGGTATATTTACATCCTCAATTAATATCATGCTGACATACTTATATTTATGAAACTCTGCGCACGGCTAAGTAAATGAATGATGATTTTTTTTTTTTTTCATTAAATATATTTTTTTTACACCTAACACTGATGCTTATAGAGAAAACATATTTTTTTGTGCTTTAATAAATTACATCATATAGTAAGTAATTGTGAACTTTTGTTCATATTTTTTGTCTATTACAAAAATATCCAATGATTGAATTTTACGAAAGAATTCGTGGGTGGCTGTAAGATAACAAATAAGTTGATGACCGTAGAAAAACTGCCGAAGGTTATATTTTCACACGAATGTGGGAGAGACAGATGACGACACTTCGAACTATATCACATACCCTTTGGAAATTTATGTGTTGAGTCTGGCCCACTGGGTTCACCAAACAAACACTCTTTGTTTTGACGTATAAGTACTCTATAATAAATTTTGAACTACCTTTGATTTGAGCTCTGGTGAATTAAAATTGTCGATCAAGTCGAAAGTTGCAGGTATTTTGTATTTCGGACTAAACGAAACGAATCGACCATCGTTAAAGCAAATAAAGGCAAATTAATCTTTGTTGTTCGTCTAACTGTCTTTTGACCTCATCGACGTTTGTAACTATATACTGTATCACGCTAAATTTGAGCCTTGTTTCTAATATAAATTTAATTTTCGTTCCAAACTGAGTTGCAGTTAAAACATCATGTCATCAGGAAATTCGAATTTTGCTTGTTTTGTGTGCAACCTCTACATTTGGAGTACTTTTTTCAAGGGTGAAAATAAAGGGTGCGTATCCAGAATATCATTTCGTGTTAACCAGGCTTAGCAATAAACATACTAATTCCAATATGAGACAATATTTGTTTCCAATTGTGGTTCGTTCTATCTCATTATTTCTTACAGATCTTAACGTACATCCCGAATAGTACAGCAGTTGGACAATGTTGAAAAATTTTTAAGTGTTCTAAAAAAAGGTTGCAGAAAAATGCAATAACGTTTTCAAACAAAACAAAAATAAAAAGTTCCACTGCGGTTGGTGACTAAAAGCCGTTTCTCAAATCTTTACGCACTGATCTACTTGTAAATGGTGGACCATTTCGTTGTTATGGGCTGTGTCCGGCAATGTTCCTCAGTCACGTGACCTAACACATGGGTGCTAGTGCAAGGAAGACAAAATGATATCACCATAGTTCTCGTGCTCATTGTGAACAATCACGCGACCTTACTGACGCAGTATTGCGGAACAAAGCCACAATCTGGATGGCAACACCTAAATTTAAAGTGGAGGAATAAGCAACATTCTGCTAATTGAACAGCAGTAAGTGAAACTATGTTTGGTGGATGTCATCCACGGCGTAACAAAGAAATCGACACTCCATTTAGATAAAAAATGCACGCATAAGAGTATTCTCAAGTGATTTTTAGTCCCAAGATGCTGCAAAAACTTTCGACGTTTTCAAAACGTTTTTACAACCGACTAGTTTTTTTTGTTTTCAAACGTTTTTTGCTATGAGCGATAAGATGCGCCATTCCGAAAAACGAACCCTGCCTGTATACACTATCTGCGCTTATGGCACAGAGATCAGCGCGCAGCCGACTCTTCCTGTAAAAACAAAGAAGAGAGAAAAATGGCGACTGCCTTGGTGGAAGCGAGTACTTATCGAGGTCATCGTTGGCCGAGACGCTTTCGGAGTATACACCACTGCAGCTGTAGCTTATCGGCATCCTCGCGACGCGAGTAAAGCAGTTCCTGCGCCCACAGGGCACGTACACTTGCACATACATGTGAGTGATTCTTCAAAAAAGAAGAATTAAATAAAAAAAGATTTCCAGGGTTTAGAGATAAATATATTTTTTTCACGAGATACATTTAACAATGTAATCATTGCAACAATTGTTTTTTCCTTTTTTCCTTCATCATTTATAAGAAATTGCTGAAATAATCTCAATACTGGATTCACTAAAATTTTTGTAACGTAATAAATTTTTTCAGAACTTCAGTGCTAAAAAAGTCTTGAAGCTTATAGTCATTTGGAAATTTGACTACTAATTTTTTAAAGCCCATAATTTTTCAGCAAGTACGCCATTTTTTGGAACTTTGGAAAACTTTGGCTCAATTAACTACGGGGTGTACCAAAATTCACTAAAAATGTACCAATTTAAATAACCTCGAAGGGTTTGGGGTTATCGGGTCACAGATCCAGTGAAAGGAGACGTACCCTGTGAAAATAATCCTCTGGACCACGGAAATGTCTTTTTTTTTTTGCGTAATTCCTCGTATACATACTATACCTCCGTATAATCATACACATCGAGGCTTCGCCGATTCGCTCTCGCTTTGTGCGTAAGTGATGTACTCCTCCGCGGTCCGGCCGCAGCTCGGCTCGGCTGCGATCCGCGGCAGCGTTTCCGCGTCTCTACTCGGGCTTCGAGCTCCCATCGCGATCTTACGCGCCTTCGAATCTCATCTCGGCTTTGGCACCACGTGGGCGTTCGTGTCCATCCGGCCTCCGAGATGTCGGTCGTTCTCGGGAGAGCCTTGTGGTACATTCGTGTCACGCATATTATGACTAGTCAAGGCTGGGGCTTACCCCCATGAAATTGTGTGCAGTACGCTCGAGGGAATACTTTTTACACGCGTGTTAGTCATTTTCAATGCGAAACGATGAAAAACAAAAACAGCTTCTCTTACAAACTTTTTCACAAACGCTTCTTATTTTTATTTTTTCAAACTACTTATGTGGCGAACGCCATATTTTTCTCGTTACCGAGAGTACGTCAAACGTCCAAAATTGAAAGAAAAAACGCTCAACGTAAAAAAAGTATTTTTAAACACTTTTTTGTTGATTAATAGATAAAACGTATACTTATATCTGGAGGCTCAAAAACAATTTATTTTCTACATTTTTTTAAAACTAACGTAAGTTTAAAAAGGTATACAAAAATTTTTTTTGGGGCATATGGTTAATAAATTTACGTTTGCGAATTTCCAGCAACTCTGAAACCCCAGGAAAACAAAATTAGCTCCGAGAATTAGCCTATACAGAGAGGAAAAAAAGTTCTTCAAGTTGTCTTTGATGTACTATCCGACACGTTTGCGCTTCTGTTAATAAATATTTTGCCAATACGCGAGCAGTAAATCATTCTGACGTTTGTAGAATCGGAAATCGAGGGGCTCGTTCGAAATCAGTTGTACACGAGGCCAACGCTCATTTTCATTTTTCGGCAATTTCTTCAATTTAAAATTTACCATCTAAATTTAAGTACAAGTACACAAGGCACGCGCGCCGGACAGTTGCGCAAACTCGGCCGCCGTAGAAAAGCACAGGCTACGCTTATCTTGCACATGACGTTAAAGTATACAAAAGCGCCGCGGTCAGGCTTTTTCCCCTAACTCGCGGCGTTTCATGCAATTACTATTCATTGGCCGGGGGAGGAAGGAGCCAATCGAGCTCTCCCGAGAAAGTAAATATTGCACGCGATAACGCGGTCGTTGCACAAAACGACAAGAAACTCGGAAAAATCGCCCTCTTTGGTCCAGACATAAATATATCCGTCATGAGACGCATGGGAGAGGTTTTAGTTCCAGTTATTGCCGCATAATGCTTTTTTACATTGTAGAATGGCGCTAAATTTTCGCGGTTTTTTTTTGAACACTTAAAATAATAGAGGTTTTAGTTTCTACTTTGGCCACTTCATTTGCTTTTGTAAGGACTCTTCGGCGCTAGTAGTCGCGTCTCATGACGAATAGACAATTTATGGCCCTTATCAGTCACTATAGACTAACTTGCTCTGTCCGTTATCGGAAGCCGCAAAGTTTTCCGCGTACCGCTCGCCACGATGTATCTGTAATATTTTGATTTATGCATCTCAATCATGCTTTAAAAATCGTATACTTTGACTTTTCCCTTTTTCATTTACAATTAAAGTAAGGTGCATTTACTTTTGAATTGTCTAGAAACAAAATGGGGACAAAAAAGCTTCTGGTGTGTCTGTTGATCGTGGCGCTCTTGCTGATCCACGATGCCTCTGCCGAGGTAGGAATTTGAATTATCGGTCTTTTCCACGGAACTGCCGTGTAAAAAATGCCCATGATTTATGTGCTGAATTTGTGACGCAGAAAAAAAAGAAGCATCGCCGTCGAACAACCACAACGACGGAGGCGACGGCTCAAGACGACGTGATGAATATGCTCGAGGCAGACGAGGTCGCCGAGGAAGCCGCTTCGTCTGAGAATCGATCGGCCGAAAAGGCCGTGCCGTTGGAACAGGAGGACCCGTGTTTGCACAAGCACTGCGGGGCTGGACGCGTCTGTAAGGTAACACGATAAAACTGAAGCATCAAACGTTTTTCCCCCGTGAATATTGTCTGTATAGAGTATGGAAATAAATTCTTCGCTTCATGTGGCAAAGAATGAAATAAAAGCAGTTGCCAACTTTGGCTCTATTCAGTTAAATCTTTGGTTGGTGCCCCTACTTGTTTGATTAACCAAGCAGATTCCAGCGCACGTTGTTTACACGAAACTATTACGAAAAATCGTTATCAGCTGATTAACTATAAGTATGCACTCAACCGATCAATCGAGTAGGGGTGCCAACCAAAGACCAACCGAAAAAAAAACAAGCTTGCGGTTCTAGAAACCGATGATTATTGTGACAGAAACGTTGTAAGCACAACGTATTCAAAATAATTAATAAATAACAAAATGCTTTTGATTTGTTATTGAAAATTTTGGTGTCGAAAAAACCTGTAAATTATTATCAATTATTCGTAAGGTTACTGTTAGCAATAAAATTTTTAAATCAAAAGAAAGCAGAGGGCACGACGTGTATTTGACAACCACTGATATCCTAAAATTATTTTTAGCGTTGTGTACAGTTCGAACACGTTTTATCGATTTCCATAGAGGCGGTGCGGTACTTTTACCACGACTTTTGAAATATGTGATACGCGAGAGTTTAACGGACTTGCGTAGTCTGCAGAAATAGAAATAGTGGTTCTTTCATTTTCTGAAACGATAAACCCTCCTCCGTACTCTTTAAAAATATTTTCAATTTAGTAGGTAAACGTGGAACGCACTACGGTAATTTTTATATGATGCAACTGTGGTAATGTGACACTGTAAAAATATGGAAATTTTGACAGTTGCATTGTAATGAGTGTTACCTACAAGAAAAATACAAAAAATTGAAGAAAAGAATAAATTAGCTAGAGTGTGGTACCGCAAATTTGTCCGTACTTAACTGGAAAATAGTTCTTTTCTTCTCATATTAAATGGAAAAAATTGTCTCTTAACTACCGTAAAATTATAAATAATATTTTACAATTTCAAGCGTATTCAATAACTCAAACGTTGGTTCGATACAAGTGAAAAAAAAAAAAAAAAAAAAAAAAAACAAATTCAAGATTAAAAAAAACTATAGTAACTAATTACAGTCGGTTTCAAAAATTCTCCTAGCCCACTATTATAATATGAACGATCGATGACTCAGTTGTCAGAAGAACGAGAGGCCAAGTGCGTCTGCATCGAGCAATGCGACGAAGAGGTTGACCCGCGGAGGCGCGTGTGCACAAACTACAACGAGACTTTCGGCAGCGACTGCGAGGTCTATCAGGCCAGATGTTTCTGCGATACCAACGACCAACGCTGTAAAGGTCCAGATTACCAGCATGTACACATCGAGTACTACGGGGAGTGCAAACAGATGCCCGTAAGTTAATTGGATCAAACTGTTTTATGTTTCCACTGTAGGTACATCCAAATTGTAATAATGACAAAAACCACCAGAACAGCTGTTCATTATTATTTTTTTTTTTTATCATTGGACTTGAGAAAAATACTTTTAAACAACATTTTTATCGAATTTTTTTTTCAATTTTATTTCTTTTTATAGTATTTACATAACATATCATTTGCTTGTAACATGATTCTCGGGATACCGAGATATTTGGGTGGAGTTTCATTAGGAAGAAGGAGCAGAAATAATAGCAGGGGATGATGTATAAACGGTTTTTTTTTTTTTCAGTACAAAGATCGCGAATCGGTGGGTCTGAAGCTTTGTTGCATCATTTATTGGTGCACGTAGAATTTGTTATTTGATTACCAATTGGAGACTGCAAATAAGAGGAGAGTAACTTTTAATCGTGGATTATTTTTAAGACTCCTCAGTGTCTGTTCACTTAGATAAAAAAAAAAAAAAAAAAAATTGATGAAAGACTTAAGAATTTTAAGAAAATTATATAGGATGGGTAAAAAAGCCATAAATTATTTCAAGATAGTATCTTCGGTATACGAGAATTACCGTTCAGGTATAAATAAAATTTGATGCAACCAGAAGTTATTCAATCCAAAAAGATTAAATTAACTTTCCGTGGTCTTTCAAATTTATAAATATTTTCGTTTTTGCTCACATGCAACACATGGAATCTCATGGCAAATTTCCGTAAAATCCGAATAGTAAAACACTCGGGGAAAAAATTCACGCATACAATAAGCAAGAATCATCAGACGAAATCGCGTAACTAGTCTCATGATAATATTGATTTTCTCCCCTCGTAATGACTGTCCAAATGTTCATAAATAGTCAAACACAATTAATCATCGTAAAATAATTTTAAATCGATGTATAATCAATTAAGATTACTCTAGCGATGGACAGTATTATAGTTGACTGAGTTCTATATGTCGGCTACATCACTGTGAGCTTCGAATGATTCCAAGCAAGTATGGGTACTTGTATATCAACTTTTTGTTTTAGAGCACAAACACACACACACGCACACACACATGTACACTTTAGGATGCATTTATAAACTTAAAAGTATTTTTAGGTATGCGTATGGGCATTATTTAAAAAAAAAGTTTGTTCTTAAACATTTTATACTCATGAATACTGAATATAGGTACAGCATTTAAAATAATTATCTATCTCTGATTAAATTGGCAAAGTTAAAGTACTACAGTAAGTTAATTTCTACGTAACATACGGGATAAGTAAAAAGAAAATTTTAATTTACTATACGTATTAATCACCCACGCAGTCAGCTTACGACAGTAGTAGTAATGTAGTAATGATGAGTAAAAATACTGTTTTTTTTAATTGAAAAATTCTTTAATGAAAAAAAAATGTGTAATATTTTTAAACGAGTAAAAAAAACAAACTTACCTACATGTATTTATAACGATACTCAATAACGCAAATCTAAAGTGCGGTTGTGCTAACGATTATAATCGTACGGTTAAACAGTAAATGGTTGAATTTTTTTTTTTTTTTTTTTTTTTAATGAAATAAAATGAAAACTTATTGTCGAATAATACATGAGCAAATGGTTGTCATTGACAGGCGTGCAAGGAGGAGGATAGGGCCGACTTCCCGCGGCGTATGCGCGACTGGCTGTTCAACATAATGCGCGACCTGGCCGATCGTCAAGAACTGCCGCACTACTACTTGAAGATGCAGCGCGAAGCCGAGTCGAACCACACCCTGCGCTGGACGAACGCCGCCATCTGGAAGTGGTGTGACCTCGACGGGCACCCCCACGACCGGTCCGTCTCGAGGCACGAGCTCTTCCCAATCCGCGCGCCCCTCATGGCCCTCGAGCACTGCATCGCGCCCTTCCTCGACTCTTGCGACGCCGATAACGATCACAAGATCACGCTCAAGGAATGGGGAAAGTGCCTTGAGCTCGAAGAGGTACATACAATATCATACTCACTTATACCAAATACCAATCAAATATGCACATCTACTTACTTTTTTACAACATCTATATGTATATCTAATTTCTTTTTGTTATTATTTTTTACGTATCCATCTATACCAGTCTACCACTGTCTACGTACATTTTGTTCATTCATTCTTTTGTATTGAGTAAATTGAAAATTTTTCAATAGTACTCGATATTGTACTCCTTAAACTTTCAAATGAGGTCAGTCGTCATAATCACGATAAAAGACTCATCAAAAATTAATGCTTTAGAGTGGTTATGTCATTTGTAACAGTACCAATCCAGGGGCCATAGTCCCAGTGTAATATATACTCAATAAAATCTATTGGCTACGCATTTTTACAATAATTAGATTACTTAGTCACGTCTCAAACAATTAAATAAAGTGGAATAGCTAAAAAACACAGTAAATTGTTTATCCAAGGGAAAAAAAGTTTAATGAATGCAGAAGAAAATAAATTACTTTTTTATCAATTTTGAGAAAACCTTAGTTCTCAAGATATTTTTATCTTACTATATCAATAAAATTGGCGGAAACAGAGCTATAGGTACGTCTTGGATTTACAAAGATTCAGCAATTTCAAACGCAATTTTTTCAAAAATAAACTCATTAGCCATGCCATTTTATTGGATCTAGGATACTTGCATACAATATTGTCAATTTTCTAGCCACATCATCTCTTAGTTAAATAATACATACCTCGCAAAAAAAAATAAAACTAACTTTGATCATGACTAGAAATTGATAAAAAACCTGCAAAAGAATTTAAGCTCGTACGGTTTGAAACATATTTGAACTTGAAACCTATATAACTCATTCGGCTTCATGAAAAAATATTATCTGAAATGTGAATAGAAATGTCCATAATCCATGTAAAATCCCATCCGAATAACATGTTATGTCATCTACAAAAACTTAGAAATAAAATGAAACTTTAGAAAATCATTTTTGAAAATTTTCCTATTGAATATTTCCTAAGCTCAAAAATTTTTTGAGAGTACTTTCATTAATAATGTTTGCTTTCCTTGCTTAAAATGTAGAAATTGAAATAAAAGTCCAATTTACTCACGCCTTTAACTCAAGAGTCATGATAAATTATACCTTACGTACTTACAATAAAATAAAATCATCACAACGTTTTGAAATCGCTGCTATCAAAACTTCATAGCATTTTACAAAAATTCATAATAAAGTTGTTGAAACGTTTTTTGGCCTAAAATTTTATATAGGTAATTAGTCGATTCAGTAGATGTAGTAAAATCTTGATGATATTACATCAAGTGAGAACCAAACTATTTTATGGTCGTTTTACTATTTTTTAAATAAATGAAAAAATATACTACCATTGCTAAAACAATTGCTAAGAACAATCAACCAGGGTACCATTTATAGTCGAATTATTACTTATAATAAATGTAGAAGTCATTTTTTCTTACAAAAAAAAAAAAACATACGTTTTTCGCGCATTTCAAACTGGAAATTTCGTGGTTTTTAGAACGTTATATATTATGTGATACACATGTATGAGGATCGCATTTAAACTTATTTGAGAATAATTTTTACTATTGGCCAAATTGCGCCCCCACTGGGCACTTTTAGAACGATTGGCCGTGATTAGAAAAGGTAATTATTATGAAATTGAGCTTCCAGCTCCATTCACCAGGTGGCCAACCCTTAAATGTTGCTTTTCTACAAGCATGTGGAAATCGATTCATAGTACTGTCCTTTTCTAATCACGACCAATCGTTCTCAAAGTGCCCAGTGGGGGTGCGATTTCGGAATCGCCCTCAAGGCCAATACCATAACTTATACTTACGTTCAATATAATTTATACTCATATTAAGTAGATTTTTAATATCATAAACTAACCAAATATCTAAATTTTTTACGAACTTAGTATTAATGAATGTAATAAATCTATTTTCATCTGTTTTCTAGGATACCTTGGAGGAGCAGTGCGATCATATAGCAGAAGCTGCTGGAGATCTTGACCACTAACAAGGAAAATATTTTCATGTCTGAGAAAAATTCAAATTCGTATATTTTTGTGCTTATTTCTATAATAATTATATATATGCACATACATTTACAATTTTATAAGTGCTATTTTTATAATACTCGAGTATGTCATATTATGATAGTCTATACATAAGATGTGATTACATTTATATGTATTTTATATCCAATTCATATGCATATTTACACTATACATATTTTTTTCTAGATGTTTTAAAATATTTTATACGGTGTGAATTAAAATTTTTATTACATGTAATTTTTGCCACGAAAACTTTTACTGCTGTATGGAATAGTTTGACAGATTATAAATAATATAAAGACGGAAAAAAATACAGTTTTTCAATAAGATTTTCTTTCGACACAAAGGACAAATTCTTTCTTAACTTTTTTCAAATCATGCCTGTGGAAGAATATTATGTAAAAAATACTCAAAGCTCATTCAAATGAGCTTCTCAAGAATCATACCATTTTTTACCATGGGTACCACCAAGTGCACCTGCCGCTTTGCACCCTCTGGCCACACTGCTCTTGTAATCACTTTTGGCCCTATAGGGCAGAAAAGTACTTTGGGCCCAGAGGAGTCGTCCTGGTATAGTCACGTATAGGCATCTCTCTATTTCTGGTAAAAAGTCGAGTAAAAAGTATGTATCCCTGTTGTGCAGGTTTAATCTTGTTTTGTTGCAAGTCCAAACCTGTTATTGTCGTGATGCCAGTTCAATGCTGCAATCATAGACGAAAATACCAAAACAGGGTAGTTTATAGGGGCAGTTGTTTGACTTTCATAATTTGGAGATCTCTTATACCCCTATTGGTAAGTACATACAAGGACAGTAAAGATACCATAGTTTGTAATTTGTAGTATGCGTATATAGGTAGATCAAATGATCAGTGTAGACTAGCTCATACAATAATAAATCTAAACTTTTATTTTGCTTCTAGAAAAAAATATTCAAATTAACAATAGTGTGTCTTTCCATCATATTCTTCACTCAGAATGTGTAGTTCTGCAATTTAAATTCCTTATTTAAGTAGTGGATTGTGGGTGACATAAGACTATTAGTAAAATGTGTATTAAATTTAATAACTATGTGTTGGAAGCAAATTTCATAAACGGTTTTGAAATGAAATTGAAAATTAACAGTAAAGTTTAAGAACACAAAATTAAAATTTAATAAATGGTTTTTGAGGTTAATATCAATAGAATAGTATAATTTTAAGAACTATGTCTAGAAAGTTAATAAAAAAGAGTATCAATTATTTAGGTATCAGTATGTAAAAGTAATAATCGTTTGTACAGTAGTTAAAAACCATATCTTTCCAAATAAAGAAGTATGTGCATAAAAAAATTATTAAAATTTAAAAAGTAGTAATGAAAAAAATGTCCTTATACTGCATGTTTTAAAAATGTTTCATGTTTATAAGGTAAATTTGATATAATAGTTGCAATGTTTTTAGCTTAACAGTTAGTTTTATAAGCAAAAACGCGTTAAATGAAAATCGTTAAATATATCACAAATTAAATGTAAAATAATATGAAATTGTTAATGAAAAATAATTCTTTTAGTTCATTTATGTATATAAGCCAAGTTAATTTTCATACTGATAATTCACAAGAGAAATCAATTGAGCTGATAAATAATAATTTAAACTAAATCATGGGCATTTGATGTAGTTGTTTAACGCTTATTTTAGAGCTTTGTGTTTATTAATCATTTTTAGCTTGATTGAAAACGAAAATAATTCTATACTGCTGATAAAATATAGAAGATTTCAAATACATTGTTAGTTCTTATTATTGGACCCACTTTACTGTTACTATCGAAAGTAAACCATTTAAATATTACTAAAAGGTATTTTGAGGAATGATTTACCCATCCACAATTGGAACACATTTGTTTATATGTAAACAGTCCCAAATTTTTTTTAGTACGTGCATCAAATATAGTTCTCAAGTTTTTGGATATTCCAAATAAAAAGTTTAACGCAGCAAATAAGCCATACATGGAATAAACAGGATATGTTCAATTTTCAATCCAATGGTATTGAAAAAAATTCAAATCATAAAAGAAACCTAACTTCTTACGATAAAAAAATGTTACTCTGGCTCTGATCATGTACACTCTGGAAAAAGTCCAAAAAAAGAACTGCAAACATTAACTTCCCAGCGTCGTACGGATACGATCGTAAATGCGTAAGTCATTATCATCATCTCGACACAAAGATCGTTACGTGCACGATGGGATGCATAAATAGCATCCAAAAGCCTGTTGATGTATCCCATTAAAAGACGCCAAAAACTCTACGCTGACCGTGAAAACCTCGAGGAGTTATGACAAGCGCACATGTAAGTACCCAATAACCACTCGAGTACGCTATTACCCATGCAGATGCTCTTTGTCGGAGGTCGAGCAGCCGTGGCATTCCGAGTATCGCGAATGCGTGCGACGACCCTCTCAAGGCTGCACTTCAGAGTGGCGCCGAGGAATAATAGGAGCGCGCACATAGTAAGTAGAGGTGGTTACAACTGCCCAAGGATTCGCACCAAGCTGGATGACCTGCCGCGCGACTCACGTGTATATTATCTCCGTGCGCGTAAAGAGTATAAACACGCATAATGTGTGTGTGTGTCCCTCGCTTGCGCTCTTTTTGTGATTCTCCAACTCCGCCACTTCTCACCTTCTCCCGCATTTTCCTCCCTCCGAGATTCTTTCCTCATCTTTTCCGCTTCGCCGGCCGAGCAACGTGTCCACGGCACTCAACGACTCAGATCGATTTTTGTTGCGAAGCGCTGTGCTTCGATCGGCCAACCGGTAGCCGGTTCCTTGGCTCCGTCGGATATAGCAGCCCCTCGAGCTTTTCGTCAAAATGAGAGCTTCGAGTTGCTTGGGCGTCGCATGGGTGTCTGTCGTTGTTGGCTTGCAGTGGACGCTCGTCGCGGGTCAAAGGACTTTTCTGGATTCGCCCGCTAATATACGGCTTCTAAGGGCTTTCCGACAGTGGACTGGACAAGTGTTGGGTGTGTGCGTGTGTGTTTGTGTGTGTGTGTCTGTGTGGATGGTTTTTGTCGTAGCGCGTAGGTAACGTATAACAAATAATGAATATGGTGACCATACATGTATAGTATAGTGTAGTACATGTGTAGTACTCTCGATAATTCAAGAGGGTTGTACTTCGAAGTGAGATTTAACGCTTGCTGAAGTTGGGAGAGTCGATGGTTTAGTGTGAGAGTCCAAGAATTTTCACTGCACGTCAATCCCATTGAGTTAACATTTTTAGACATTTGCAGAATTGATAACATCAGGGTTTATATTAGTATTTGAAAACAACCGTTTTTCTCTAATAGCACTAAATCGAATTTTATGATTTTATGTGGAAGCAATTATTTTTTACAATTACGAGACGTAAAATATCCTGTCTCAGATTTTATCTTCTACACCCTTCGATTATTAATTATTTCGTGGCAAAATTACTCTGTTTCATAGAGTATAATAAAATATTTGGTAAGCAAATTTATATGGATTTTTGAAAAAAAATTATTATATGCTTGACAAATAGAGTTATCAATTTATTTATCACCTCAACCAGCTCTATATACGGAATCGAATTTTTTCAAGCACACATTTGAAAGTGTGGCAAATCCATGACAAATATCTTACTTATTACAGCTTCTCGGTGTTGATTGTTTTTTTAAAATAACATTTTAATTTGGTAAAATTACTTTACGGACCATCCATTTTTCTGTTTATCGAGACCTTATTAACTCCAGCGACTGTTATTCTTTTTATAAAAAATGCTTACTTTTAAAGTATTCCAAATTCCAGGAGTGAGGGTAAATGACTATACTCCGGGATAGTCATTTTCAAACTGAATAAATTGCTGTTTGTATTCAACTCGCCAATACTCGGACATATATTAATGGAATGATAAAATCTATAAAATTTCAAAAATATCATTAACCTATGATTTTTAAGGCAAAGCATCAAATGAATCACTTACATATTATATTTTGGCATACCTCAAGTATTATAGAAAAATTATGTTTCTAAAATTGAATAGATTACACAATTGACATAAAAAAAATTTACCAGGAACTTAATGCTAAAAGTAAATAAATCTTGTGTAATTTAAAATTACATAAAAAATTGTCACAAGCGATTTTATATATTTAATACAACTATTTTACGTAAGAAAACACGTGTGTTATTATATCTAGTTTGTGAAATTAAGTTACTTATAGACAAAATTTTTAACAGTAAATAAAAATTCATGCTTGAATTTACGGTATTCTCATTAGATTTACACATTAGCAATATTTTGTATCGTACAGAGATTTTAATGAAAAAGTTATTTTGTGCAGATAAGCAAAGCCGTTAGTTATTGTTTTTAGTAAGTTTTATTTCAAGAAGTTGCAGTTTTTCAGATTTGAATTAAATTATTTAGTTCGCTCTTTTTTGAGAGTGAATATCAAGTGTTGCAAGGTTATTTAGTGATTGAGTATTAACGTGAATCAGTTTTTTTTTTTTTTTTTTTTTTTTTTTTTTTTTTTTTTTTTTTTTTTTTTTT